ATTTTTTTTTTTAAATTACATTTATGTGTGTGTGTGTGTGTATGTGTGTATGCCACAGTGCATATGTGTGAAGGTCAGAGGACAATTTGCAGATCCAGGGATCAAATTCAAATTGTAAAGCTTGATGGCAAGTGTCTTTACCCAATGAGCCATCGCCCTCCCCCCCTTTTTGAAATCGTGTCTTGTATAGCCAGCCTGGCTTTAGATTTGCTGTATAGGTGAGCATGATATTGATCCTTTTGCTTCTTCCTCCCCTAAATTACAGGCGTGTAACTACCATGCCCAGTGTGTGTGGTGCTGGGGGTCAAACCCAGGGATTCCTGCATCTAAGCCCACAGCCTACCAGTGAAGCTACATCCCCAACCTTCGGGTGGTTACAGAAGTTCATTACAACGTGCAACAGGCTCGGAGACAACACTTCATTCTAGGCTTAGGTGGCAAAGCCATTAGGGCAGGGAAGCCAAGTGTTTAAATGGTGAAGTGAAGGAGCCACCGCCATTTCAGGCATAAGGAACACCTGACTTTTTTGCCAGTTTCCTTAATTCTACCTGCGGCCAGTGGGGGGTCTTTCTGCCTAACTCTTCTCTGTTTCTTTGGCTCGTCCTGTTGTTTCTTCTTGAAAGCATAGTCTTCCTTAAAGACCTGAAATGTCACCCACCCCATCCCCAGGTGTCAGCCCTCTGGAGTGAAGTTTTGAGTCAGGGTCTCACTTGTTCAGGCTGGCTCCCAGCTTCTGAGCTCCAGCAGCCCCCTGCCTCAGCCTCCTGAACAGCTGGCACTATTGGTAGATGCCTGTGTGCCTGCCAAAATAAAATATCTTTATAATTTTCTAGTTTAACTGCCCTCTTCTTAAGCCACCTATTCCTAATAAGAAGGCATTGTTAGTGCTAAAAATGAAAAAAAGACTAAATTTTAAAAAAAGTTACTTAATTAGGCGTAGTAGTGCGTACCTGTTATCATCCCAAGTGCCTTTAGCCCCAGCACTTGAGAGGCAGAGGCTGGCAGATCGAAGTGGGTTCCAGGGCAGCCAGGGCTACATAGTGAGAAACTGCTCAAAAAAAAAAAAAAAAATCACACACACAAACAATGTTCACATGTAATCTCTTGGGAATTTATGCTGATTGGTTGGGATTTTATTGAAGACTTTTATTTATTTCTCTCCTGTCAGGGTCACATATAGATAGTCTAGGCTGGTCACAAACTCACATTATAGTGGGATGACCTTGAACTGCTTATCCTCTGGCCTCTACGTCCCAGGTGCTAGGCTTACAGGTGTGCATTGCTACACTGACTTGACTGAGAGAGAGAGAGACAGACAGAGCTATCTGATCCTTTTTAAACCAGTATCCTTGATCTATCTGTCCTTTGCAAGCATCTTAGTAACAGTTTCACAGCCTCAGAAACCCTTGCTTTCCCACTAAGCATGGTGCCATCCAAACATGGCACTCCCAGCTGGCTCCTCATGGGTCCCTCCTCAGGACCTACCTGCCTGAACTCCAGACAGCCCAGTGCCCATGCAGAACTGGTGCTTGCTTGATTCAGTCAGTCCTGTCCTCTTCGTTGCTTTGCTTCTAACCGTGGAGGCTGGCTATTTGAATCACTTGCCTAATTTCATTCTTCCCTGTGCATAAGAGCACAGTCCAGGGACTGGTGAGATGGCACAGCAGGTAAGCGTATCTACTGGCCTAATGACTGAGCTCAGTCCCGGGGCCAACTTGCTAGAAGACAAGAGCCGACTCCCACAGGCTGTTTGTTCCCTGACCTCCACGTGTGCTCTGAGGCAGACAGCCCGACTTCCCTTGACACTCAGGAGCATCCAGAGTGTCCCCTTGCTGCTTGTAGGTCTTGTGGCGGAGATGGGAGCCCGTGAACAGCAGTGGTTTTTCTTTCACTGGGCTCTCCAATTCAAAAGACAGGTAGCTTGCCAGTGGAGTGATGGAATCCGGGTGCTTGGGAAGGCAGAGGCAGGAAGATGCCAAATTTCACATCAGCCCAGGCTACATAGTGAGATCCTGTCTCAAACCAAACCCAAACAAACCAAACAAATGCCTAGGCTTAACGGTGTACACCTATAATTCCAATGCTAGAATTCAAGGTCACCTTTGCTCACACGGTTAGTTTGGAGCCATCTGGGGCTACATGAAACCATGTCTCAAAACAGCAGCAAAAGCCAGTCGCGGAAAATGGTAGTGCTCCATTTCTTCCACAGATGTCTCATTTAATCTGACTTCATATGATCAGTCATAAAGGGTATTAACTGTTTACCATTCCCAGGCTGGTGAAATGGCTGTGGGAAAGGGCTTTTGCTTCTAAGCTTGTTGATCTGAGTTTAATCCTGCCAGGAACCAGCAAGATGAAAGGAGAGAACCACCTCCTGACCACACTCACACACGTGCACATGACATACATATACACGAACACACACAATGAATGAGTGAGTGAATGAATGAATGAATGAATGACTAAATGTAAAAATAAAGAATATACCGTTCTTTTAATTTTGAGAGATCACTTTCACAGCTTACTGTTGTAGGCATTTTTACTTTTATTCACTTGAGACGAGGCCTCACTATGTAGCCTTGACTGGCCTGCAACTTGCACCACCATGCTGGCTCTTGTTTTTCTCGTCACATTTATAAGGCAGCCTTCCTGTACGTGTCCTTGCCAGTGCATAGGCTGTTTCTGAAAGGACAATAGGAAACTGGAGTCCTGCTCCTGCGCTTGAGATTTGCCATTTTTCACCTTCCAAAGATTGTAGAATATGGATTAAGAAATACATACAATAAAAAATAATGTTTGTTTTGAGCCAGGGTGCCATGTAACCCAGCCTGGCCTCAAATTTGACACGCAGCTGAAGATGACCTTGAGTTCTGATCTTCCAACCTCCACCTCTAAGGTGTTAGGTTAAACAGATTTCTGTTCATGTCTCTCTGTGTATGTGTCTGTGTGAATGTATGAACATATGTGTGTACATGCTTGTGGGGGCCGGAAGAGAATCAAACCCTCGGAGCTGGACCTACAGGCGTTTACGATCCACACGCACTGTCGGGCTAGGATCTGAGCTCCACTTTTAAATGCTGAGCCAATTATGCCAACTTTAAAAATAAGTAAATAAACAGGGGTGGTGGCACACACCTTTAATCCCAGCATGTGGGGAGATAGAAGCAGGAGGATCGAAGTGAGTTTGAGGCCAGCCTGGTCTACAAAGCAAGGATAGCCAAGGCTACATAGAGGAACCCTGTCTCAAAACACCAATCAATACATAAATAACCAAACTACACTGATGTTGTTGTGTTGTCCTTTGTTCTTAGCTTGAGGTGTCCACATGGTTTAGGTGACTAAGAAAAGGAGGCCAGGAGCTGGGAATGTGGCTCACATCATAGGGTACATACCTAACACACATGAAGCCCTAGGCTGCATCTCCAGCTGCATACACTGGACCTGGTAGCTTGTAGCCTGCAGCTAGTCTTGGGGCTATTTTGTGGGTTCTTCTTTTTCCCACCCCTTATCTCCCTCCCCCTTCAACCCTATCACTAAATAGGAGAGAAAAAAGGATAAAAAATGGGGGGAGATTAATCTCTGAATCTAATATTTCTTCTTGTTTCTTCTTTGAGTATGACTACTAACAAACTACAACCAACTCCCCTGAACGACTAACAACCATCAACCCTTCCTATTGGGGGCTCAGAAAAGTTCCCAGAATTCCAAGTGCCAACACACCCAGCTCTGTGTGTATGTTTAAGATCTGTATTTATTTTACATGAGTGTTCTGTCTGCATGTACACTTGCACGCCAGAAGAGGGCACCAGATCTCATTATAGATGGTTGGGAACCACCTTGTGGTTGCTGGGAATTGAGCTCGACCTCAAGAAGAGCAGACAGTACTCTTAACCTCTGAGCCATCTCTCCATGCCCCTTCCCCACCACCCCCCAGCTGTGTTTTTTTAAAGAAACTAAAATCCCAGAATTCTCCCTACAATAGCCCACTCCTATGTTCCCAGTACTTGGCGAGTAGAAGCAAGGTGAGTTCAAGATCACCTCTGGTTACACAGTAAATTCAAGACTGCTCTGGGCTATGTGAGACTTTGTCTCAAAACAACAACAACAACAACAAAAGAATGCAAGATGCTGTGGCACCTCCCTTTAACCTAGCACTTGGGAAGCAATGACATATGATTCTCTGGGAGTTTGAGGCCAGCCTGGTCAATGTAATGATATTCAGGGCAGTCAGGATTTCACAGTGAGACCCTGTATCAAAACTACCAATTCCAAAAAAACAAAACAAACAAATAAAAGGAAAACATGGAGCCAGGCATGATGGTGCATGCCTGTAACGCCAGCACTCAGGGAGGCAGAGGCAGCTGGATCTCTGTGAGTTCGAAGCCAGCCTAGTCTACAAAGCAAGTCCTGGATATCCAGGCCTACACAGAGAAACCCTGTCTTAAAAAACCAAAAAAGGAAAAGAGGGATGAAGCTGTAGCTCAGAGTTTGAGTGCTATGGTTAAGGGTATGCAGGGTTCAGTCCCCAGAACCACACACACACACATGGGAACAGTACGGTTTAGCATCTTGAGATCTGTACTTAGATCAACAGAGTTTCCTGAGAATTGCCAAAAAGAGGAAACCTAGCTAGACACACATGTGAGCTGATTCAAGGGAGGCCTTCTCTTTCTCTGTGTTCTGCTCCTGGTTGGCAGTAGGAGATGAGTCTCCACTTTGGAGTAGGAGCAATATACCCATCCTCTGACTGAACTACACTGGATAAATTAGTAGTACCTAATGGGGATGACCAACAGAGGTACCCTGCCAACAGTCCTTCCCCACCTGGCTGCTCCTGGGCGTCCCTAGAAGAACACCAATCCTGATCCTAACTCAGCCTCCATCCTGCAGGGCTATTAGATAGTATGGGGCATGGGATCAGCCTGTATAAGCTGTGGCAGGACCTGCTGCAGTCATTGGTGCCCTGAAATGCGTTTACTGAAGGCTTTACAACCCCTTAGGTCTGCCTGGGCTTATGGAGACCTCCCAATGATCAGATGTCCCAGCAGCTGGCCAGGAGCTTTTGTTGATCACATCCTCAGGTGTCCCCCTACCAGGTAGGTCCGGAAAATGTGGACCTTGAGGACAGATGGGTGCTGGGATTAAAGACACCATGCCAGCCGTGGGTTGTTTTGTTTTCTGGTGGGTGTTTGTTTGTTTCAAGATGGGGTTTCTCTGTGTAGCCTTGGCTGTCCAGGGCTCACTTTGTAGACCAGGCTGGCCTGGAACTCACAGCGATCCACCTGCCTCTGCCTCCTGAGTGCTGGGATTAAAGGCATGCAGCACAGCTCTGGCTGTGTTTTTAAATGAAACCAAAATCCCAGAATCCTCGCTACAGTAGCCCATTCCTGTTCTCCCAGCACCTGGTGGGTGGGAAGCAAGGTGAGTTCAAGGTCGCTTCTTGTTCCACAGTGAATTCAGGACCACCTTGGGCTATGTGAGGTTCTGTTTCAAATTCCTGGTACTCTCTGGCTCATGCGCAGTATGTTTAGTTTTTTGTTGTTATTTTTGAGACAAGGTCTCATTCTGTTGCTCAGTCTGGCCTTCTACCAGGTCAGTCCTCCTGCTTCAACCTCCCAAATGCCAGTATTGCATGTCTGAGCCACCATACTTGGCTTGGTATATGAAGCTTAAGGGTGCTTGCCTCACATCAGGGAAAGATGCTCTGGCTTCTGACAGGTGATGATGGCAGCCAAGCTCAGGCTGGAGTTTCCTGCCTGGAGTGTAAGGTTTCCAGAGCTTTAAAGATAGAATCCAGAATGTGAGCATGCCACCTCTCATTTGGTTCTCTTTGCTTTGCCAAAAACAATTACACTTTAAACAGCTCAAATGTTCCTTCCTTGTGTTCCTGGTGCTGCACTTGCTGAAGCTTTGCTTTTCTCCAGGCCCTGACCTCACCTCGGGGCCTTGCTGTTGACCCCCTGCCTAGTGCAGTTGCTGACTTTTCCCCTGGTTATCTTCCCCATACAGCCCGCTGCACCGCCCCGCCCGGCTTAGGTTCTTGGACTTAGTGAGGCGCCTGGCATGACTCATTGTTTGACTTTCCTTGTGTCCAACTCATTACCTTTGATAGGAATACCTCTTGACCTTCAAGAAGTGAGAACTCTGGCCTCAGGACTCAGCAGACTGTACACAGGTTTCCTTTGTGGTAAAAGATCCAACAAGAAAGCGCATGACTGTAACCCTTGAAGGGTGGAGACTGAGCTTGAGGCCAGCCTGGGGTGCATTGTTAGACCCTGTCTCAAGAAAACAAAAACATGGGGCCAGAGAGGGAGATCAGCAGTTAAGAGCAGTTGGTGCTCTTCCAGGGGACCAAGGTTCAATTCCCAGCAACCACATGGCAGCTCACCACCTCATATAACTCTGTTATCCTAGCACTGGAGGGGTGAAGGAGGCAGGATCATGAGTTCAAGGCCAGCCTTGACTATTTAACAAGTTTGAGGCCAGCTGGACTATGTAAGGCCCCGTTTCAGAACAAATAAACAAACATTTTTATTGTCTTCTGAAGTGGCTGTGACTCTTTTACCAGTAAGGAAACTGAGGCGTAGTCAAATCAGACGATTGTCCCAGGTCACACGTACTTAGGAGCAAAGCTGTGCCTCCAGGACCTCCCTTCACTTAAGATTTCATTTGTTTTTGAGACAGGGTTTCTCTGTGTAGCCCTGGCTGTTCTGGAACTCGATTTGTAGGCCAGTAGGAACTTGAACCTGAGATCCACCTGCCTCTGCCTCCTAAGCACTGGTATTAAAGACCTGAGTCACCACTACCAGGCCCACTTAAAATTATTTTAAATTAGCCCTCGGGAACCTAGTCTTCCATAGTGAATTCCCAGCCAGCCAGGACTGAATAGTAAGACCATGTCTCAAGGGGGGAAAAGTTTTGTTGAAATTGGAATCCAGATCTTATATGACATACTTTTTCTATCCCAGAATGGGAACCCACAACAGACCAAACTAATGATCATACCAGAGGCCAACTTGGCAGACCAGTGAGTTTTTCTTGAGGTTACTAACATGGATATGGGTGAGAGGTCACTTTCAGGGTCAGAGAAGACTCAAGAGCAGCTGCAAGCCCACCCTGGCTGGTAGAAGCCCTGGCTCTGATGTTCTCTCTTTGCACAGCACATAGGAAGACGGCTACGATTCTCCTGAGCACCTGGCTGGTCAGGCTCCTTCCCCAGGAGGTGTTTAAAGCTGGGAAGGATCCTTCCAGAATCTTTCAAGTTTCCACTTTGCCTCCCCATCCCTCCTGGAGAGAATGTTTCAATTCAGAGAAAAGTGCTCTAAACAGATCTCTTGGAGTCCATTCGTGAGGATGGCTTCCCTCTCCCATCCGAGTGCCTGACTCATGAGCACATGGGGCTTGGAGTGGTGCGTGGGTTTGTTGTCATCAGTCTTGGTCACCATGTGGCCTTGTGAAGTGGGTGTAAGCACTGGTGCATTAGAGGAGGAATGTGCTGGCTGCTGATCTTGTACAACCAAGGTACGAGCCTTTCTTTCCTGCCGCTTAGAAGTCTTCCAAACATTAGTGCCCAAGAATCAGAACACAAACTGAGCATGATGGTGCATGCCTCTAATCCCAGCATTTGGGAGGTTGAGGCAGGTGGATCTCTGAGTTCAAGGCCAGTGTGTTCTACATAAGTGAGTTTCAAGGCTACATATGGAGACTGTGAGATATTTCTTTCCTTAAGGATTTATTTATTTTATGTAGATGAATACTGTATCTACATATACACTTGCATGCCAGAAGAGGGCATCAGATCCCAGTATAAATGGTTGTGAGCCACTATGTGGTTGGTGGGAATTGCTCTTAACTGCTGAGCCATCTCTCCAGCCCCCATCTGTGAGTTATTTCAGTGACAGACCTGACCATGTGGTTTTGAGGAGGACTGTGGAAAAACTTTGGAACTTTGGCCAGGAAAACCATTGAATTTTGAGATCTCAATGAGCTGTTCTGTAGGAGCTTGGAAGATAAGAATGTTGAGGGCAGTGCAGATGATGGAGGCGTGGCATGTGACCTTTCAGAGGGAAGCAGACACTCTACCAGTCCTTTTGTGTGATAAATCTGTGGTGTCTGGCCAAATGGAGCCAAAGAGTTGGCCATGACTAACAAGAGACCAGAACCACTGAAATAAAACCTTTGTTTGCTGGGACAATTGGTGCTGGTTAGCTGGAGCTGAGAAATTGGTGATTAAGAGACCAGCATCACTGAGGTGAAATCTTCTGGGAAGTGCCTTCTCAGGCTCAGCAGGCAGAAGCTGTGTTCCAGAGGTAGCCACATTGGTACCTCTTGCTGGCAGCCAAACTTGGTAATATAAGAGTCACTGAAGTGGTTCTGGTTTTAAGGCATCTTGGAGAGATGAGGTTTGGCACTGTGTGAGGCCAGTGGCAGTTGAAGGCCCATGACTGACCGGGTCCTGCAGAGAAGCTGAGGCTTGGCATCACGAAGTGAGGGAACTCGGAGTGGCGGCTATAAGTGAAAGTGCAGCCCAGTTGCCGCAGAAGACCTCAGCGTTTTGGAGATGCCAGTACCTGGGACGGCCACCAAGAAACCTCACGAACAGCAGCATTGGTGGAGCCTGCCTGAGCTTAGAAGACAAGCTGTGTGTGCTGCAGAGGACAGAGCTGGGGAGTGACCCGAGCCCTGTGGAGGAGCCCAGAAGATAGTGGATCCCAGGCATTGGACATTGAGTTATTTACACAGATTTGCTTTGTTCAGATTGTGACAGTACTCTGTTTCTTCCTTCTTTTTTTTTCTTGAGACACGGTCTCTGTATAGTCTTGGCTAGAACTCTCGCTGAAGGCGAGGCTGGCCTCAAAAATCACAGATCAAAGAAAGAGAAAGATTTTGGAGTTCTACAGAGAATTTGTATTTTAAGAGAGGCGATATTTTTAAAGAGACAACTTTTGCAGTGTTTGAATTTGTAAGGCTTTGGGACTTTTAAAGTTTGTGGTATGTTTTACATTGTGACATTTTTGTTAGTGTGTAACTTTGGGGATGAGCAAGAAAGGAAAGGCTGTAACTTAATAGTGATGTGTCTGTGTGTCAGGTTGACAAGGAGTCAGCTGTCCTGGCTAATCTTATGTCAACTTGACAAAAGTTGGTCATTGAAGAGGAGGGAACCTCAGTTAAAAAAGAAAAAAATGCCTACAGAAGATTGGGCTGTAAGCGAGGCAGGCGAGGGGTTGTGGCACACAAACAAAAAAGATTGGGCTTAAACAAGCCGCTGGTGCATTTTCTTAGTTAGTGATGAGTGGTGCTGTCTTGGGCTGGTGGTCCTGGGTTCTCTAAGAAAGCAGGCCAAGCACCCCCTTGGTCCCAGCACTCAGGAGGAAGAGGCAGATGGATCTCTGAGTTTGAGGCCAGCCTGGTCTACAGAGTGAGTTCAAGGACAACTAGGGCTGTCTCGAAAAACCAAAAAAAAAAAAAAAAAAAAGAAAAGAAAAATAGGGCCAGGCTGAGAAAACCATGAGGAGCAAACCAGTAAGCAGCTCTGCTCCATGCCTCCAGGTTCCTGCCCTGTTTGTGCCCTATCATGACTTCCTTCAATGATGGACTATGCTGAAATGTAAGCTAAATAAACTCTTTCCTTCCCACCTTGCTTTTGATCCTGGTGTTTCATCATAACTAAGACAGAGACCTTGTCTCCAAACAAACAAACAAACAAAAAAACAGGATAAGTGAGGCGGCTCAGAGGTAAAGTGCTTGCCATGCACAGCCTGACAAAGGTAGCCGGACAACCAGAGTTAAATAGCCTGACCCCACATTAAGGTAGAAGAAAAGTGCTGTCTCCACAGAGCTGCTCTCTTAACCCCGTACGCTGTGGCAGGTGTGCATTCAGACACATGCAAAATAGGGATTCATAAAGAATTTGTTTTATGTTATCAAAAAAAAAAAAAAAGAAGGAAGGAAATAAAAACTATAATTTGCCTTGTGGCCTTACCCGTTTCTTATCTTATACAGCGACCATAGCTAAGCTCTGGAATGTGCTCAGAATGATGGCTAATAAGGATTTAGAAGCTGAAATCCACCCCTTGAAGAACAGGGACAGAAAACCACAGGGAAACCTGGGAAACCAATCGAAAAACGAACCTGACTCGAAGAGCAAGCCTCTGCAGGCCCGACTGTCCCGATGCCGCACCGTGGCGTTTTTCCTCTCCTTGTTTACCTGCCTCTTCGTGGTGTTTATCGTCTCTTTCATCATCCCATGTCCAGAACGACCTCCGTCGCAGGCCATGTGGAGGCTTGACTACAATGCTGCAGGTGAGCTTGCCTGGGCCTCTTTCCCACAGGGTTCCAGACCCCTCCTCGGCGGCACTGTCCAGTGGACTTTGACAGTCAGCCAGAAGTGGCTACTGGGTCGACCTCTGAACTTGGAGACTTTAGGAGCCTGTAGGAGAACTGGAAGCACTGTCCTGGCCAGGTACGTAGGCAAAGGCAGATTAGTCTACCTAATGGAAACAGTTGAATGAGACACAACCGCCTGAGAGATTAGATACAGCATCACCCGCTGTGGGGAGCTGGGCGGCTGGACGTCCTGAGGGCTCCAGATGGGAAGCTGGCCCAGTCACACTTTATTTCCGTCCCAGGAAATTAGCCTTTATGAAAACCACTGAAAAGCCTTCTAATTTTTAATTTAATTTAATTTTTTTTTATTTAGAGACAAGTTCTCACTTACCTCAGGGTGGCTTCAGATATACTGTGTAGCGAGGCTGGTCTTGAATTCCTGCCTCACACCCTGACTGCTGGGATTACAGGAGTGGGCTACCACATCTGGCTCCATGCGACATAGGAGACTGAACCCAGGGCTTCATGAATGCTAGGAAATCCCTCTACCAACTGAGCTACAGCCCGGTTCCAGTCTTTAGTAAATATATTTCCAAGTATTCACTTTACTTTTGTTGTAAAGGGACTTTTTAATGAATTTAATTTGGGCTCATTGCCCCCACCATCAGAGCACAAGGGTTCCAGTCTGCTGAAGCTTGTCTTCATTTTCGCTTTCCAAGTATACATCCTGATGAATTTGAGGCGGTCTCTCCTTATGTTTTTTTTTTTTTTTTCCTTGTTTTGGGTCTCAATGCCCAATTTATGTAATGCTAGATATACTGTGTCTGTCTGTCTGTCTGTCTGTCTGTCTGTCTATGTGCAAAGCAAATACTCTAAAAACTAGGCTACATCTCTAGCTATTTTGGTTTTGATTTTATTTATCTATTTATTTTTGGTTTTTCTTTTTTTTCTGTTTGTGTGTGGGGTTTTTTTGTTTGTTTGTTGTAGCCAGGCCGTCCTTGAACTCACAGCCTGCCTCTGCCTCCCTAGTGCTGGGATTAAAGATGTGTGACACGCCTGGTTTTTTGGTTTTTCAAAATAAGGTTTCTCTATGTTGCCCTATCTGTCCTCAACTCCCTCTGAAGACCAGGGTGGCCTCAAACTTAGAACTCCCCCTGCCTCTGCCTCCTGAGTGGTTGATCAAAGGCCTGTGCTACCACTGCCTGGCTTTATTTGGTGGGTGGGGGAGGGTTAGTATTGTTTTCAGGTTTATTTTATGTATATGATGTTTACACATGCATGCCTGGTACCCGTACATGTTCTAAGAGGGCATTGGAGCCCCCAGAATTGGAGTAACACACAGCTGTGAGCCACCATGTGGGTGCTGGGAACTAAACCCAGGGCCTCTGCAAGAGCAACAGCATGTTTAGCTGTACTTGTTAAGCTGTTATTACTCCAGCCACTGAGCTTTAGGCAGGATCTGTCTATGAAACTGTTGCTGGCCTAGAATGTTGCCTAGACCGGCCTCTAACTTGTTATATAGCTGAGGACGTGACCTCATCCTAAACCTCCTGCCTCCACTTCTTAGTACAGAAAGCTGCACTTAGCTAATAATAGTGGCATTAAGCATCTTCTTAAGGTCTGTTCATCACTTGTACATTTTAGGAGGAGTGGCTCTGAAATCCTTTGCCTGCTCTCTAACTAGCTGATTGCTTTATTGTTGGTGGGTCTTTATATGTTGGGTACTGATTGCTAATCCTGTATACGATTTCTGAATTTTCTTCCTACCATACATTGTCCTGTGTGTCCTTTAGCTCATAGGAGCTTCTATTTTGATGAAATCCAGTTAACCTTTTCCTTTTGTTATCTGTGTTTTAGATATCATTCCTTCCCTGTGTTTCTTTGCAGTATTTTCTTTCTCCCCCCCCCCCTTTGGTTTTTTTGAGACAGGGTTTCTTTGAGTGGCCCCGGTTGTCCTGGAACTAGCTCTGTAGACCAGGCTGGCCTAAAACTCACGGAGATCCTCCTGCCTCTGCCTCCCAAGTGCTGGGATTAAAGGTGTGCACCACCACTGCCTGGCTTGTATATTGTAGTTTTAACTGTTTAGGATCTGATCCATTTTTCTCCCTCACCCTTTGCATGTTTGTTTTTATGAGAGCTCATCAGATGAGCCCTTGAATGGAAGGAAGCACCAGGCCTCGCAAGGATGAAGCATGGCTGTGGGGATCCCATGCTGGCCTTCGAGGATTCTCTTCTGAACAGATGTTCAGATTGATTCCACTTTATTTCCTTATTTGTTTGGAGGCAGGGTCATTCTTTGTAGCCCTGGCCGACCTGGAACTGTCTATGTAGCTAGGCTGGCCTCAGACTTAGAGAGACCTGCCTGCCTCCGAAGAAACGGCTTGTTCTGGTAAGGAAGACCCTGCTCTTACTGGGGGCAGGGGACCTCACGGTGACAGACTGTATAGTCGGAACACCAGGCCACTCAGAGCATGGCAGGCACCCCCCACGGAACATAATTTGTGGCTTTCTTTTTCAGTCACGTATGATTTTCTGGCTATGAGAGACATAAACAAGGACAAGATCCAGGACGTTCTCTTTCTTTACAAAAACACCAACGGCAGTAACAATTTCACCAGATCCTGTGCTGATGAAGGTAATTCCTGTTCTAACACGTTGGTCCCATGGGAAAAGGGAGCTTTGTCCCGGCTCACATTCTCATTTGGGGCCTCCATCTTTTTTTTTTTCCCCCCAATAGAATAGGCTAGGCAATACTGTCAGCTCCCTTACTCCACCTGGGACCAACACCAGTGCCCCATGAGGCTCAGGGCTCAGGGGATAATAGAGGAAAATAGGCCCAGAATAAGGAAGACAGGAAGGGGAAGAACACAGTCTGAGACTAACCAAGTGCCACCTCTACCCTTCAGGCTTTTCCACTCCCTGTGCCTTCGTGGCTGCTGTGTCAGGGGCCAATGGCAGCGTGCTCTGGGAGAGGCCTGTGGCCCAAGATGTCACCCTTGTGAAGTGTGCCATGCCACAACCATCAGACGATGAGTTGTCTTCTGCCTGTATCCTTGTGGGAGGACCAGGTTCTTTCATCGCAGTCAGCTTGTTCACAGGTCAGCCGCGTGGTAAAGGTTCTTGATGGTTCTCATTGGAGGGGTCAGCCTTGGCCCTCCCCCGAAGGGTTGCTGACTGGATAGGAATCCCTCAGAGCGAGGGCGCGACCACTTGGAAGCCAATGCTGTCAACGCTTTCAGCTGCCCCGCCATGTTGCAGTTGTGCCTTTGCAACCACAATTTGCATCTTGCTATGGAAGCTAGCAGAAACGACTAGTGTCACCTACCATGAGGTAATAGGGATCATGTGGAGGGCCTTGGCTCCTGGGGGCTTGGAGGTTTGGACTAAGCCTGCTGGTGCTCCTCTTCTCCTAGAGCAAGTCTCTGAGCCTTGACCTAGGCCAGAGGGAGAAAGGTACACCCACCCAACTTTCGTGTGGGTTTGTAGGGATCCGAGCTCTGGTCTTTACACTTGCATGGCAAGTGCTTTAACCACTGAGGCTCTTGTTTTAGTTTTTTGCAAGCTCACGATGTGCAGCCCAGACTGAACTGGAACTTAGAATGTAGCTCAGACTGCCCCTCCACTTGCAGTAGGCCTTACAGATGCTGAGATTACAGGCACGGGCTGCTGTACCCAGCTGCTTTTTCAAGAGGCTGCCTAGTTGTATTTGCTCCTCAACAAGGATTTCAGGCTGCTTGGACACAGTTCTGTCTCTAAGCGGCCTCAAGGTCCCGAGGATGGATGCCCTCATGTGAGTACCATTTATTTGTCAAGAAGAGGATTTGGAGCTCTGTGTCTTTGGTTTTAGGGGAAACCCTATGGAGCCATTCCAGCAGCTTTGGTGGGAATGCGTCCATCCTGAGCCCTCTGCTTCAGGTGCCTGACGTCAACAGTGATGGTACCCCAGACCTACTAATCCTCGCCCGGGAGGGACAGGAGGTAATCAGCACAGTTCTCAAGTTCCCCATTCCCACTTACCTCCTAGTCCCTTCTCTGCTTCCTCAGCCACTTCTCCCTAGAGAGAGGTCATGTGATCACCCAGCAGGGGTCCTCCCAGGACACTCTGTCCTGAGGTCCACACATGCAGCATGCTGGGAGGCTCCACCTCTGCAGGCAGCTTTGCTGGCCTTTCCCATGAGTGGCAGAATGCACATGGCCTATGTGTGAGTTGGTGTGAGCTTTGGGCCCACAGCTGCCATGTCTCCCAGGTAGGCTATGCAACACAGTCACACAAGCTCCCTCTTGGTCCCTCTCTTCTAAGTACTTTCTCTCCCAACCCAAAGAGTGTCTCCTGTACAGCTCCTTAAAGTTCTCCTCGCTCTCCATGGAGCGGCTTCTACCTCCCCCCTGTTGCCCTTTGTCACTGCAGGTCAGTGGAGCTATCTATTCAGGCAGCACCGGGAACCAGATTGGTCACAGAAGCAGCCTTGGTGTGGATACAGACGGTGTCGCCCTCCTTCACGTGACCAAAACGGGTGCTCACTATGTTCTCCTGCCCTGTGGTATGTTGGATGCCACAGTCTCAAGATGGGCTTCTCTCCTGAAGTCATGCTAGGCTGATCATGGGTTCAGGGCTAGAGAAAGAAGCATGCAAAGAAATTGGTGACCGGCCACCTTGCGGCCACTCCTGTTCATGAATTCATGAGTGACACTTAATAGTCAGGAAGCCCAAGGGCTAGGACAGGTGTGGCACACCATGGTTCCAGAAGTGGGGCTGATGGGTGCACCTGGTCCCCATGGTGACTGAGTTCCTCTTTATTTTGAATAGCAAGTGCTCTCTGTGGCTTCTCTGTGAAGAGTCTCTATGAGAAAGTGACTGGGAAAGAAAGCCAGTTTAAGGAGGACTCCTACTGGGAGAACAAGCTCAATCGCTCCGCCAACCGGAGGCTTCTGCACAGGTTTGTGCAGACAGGTTTGTGACACACAGGCCTCGGTTAGGGAAGGCCTTGTGTGAAGCACAGGCCAGCTGGGCTAGGGCCTCGAAGTACCATGAGGTCATCATTTAAGTACATCACTCAGAAATGAGACGTGAGCAAGCAAAAGCAGAGAAAGAATTGAGAAGGCTGGGTGGCTCAGGGATAGAGTGCTTGCCCAGCATGTCTGAGCCCCTGGCTCTTATCCCCCAGGAGAAAAGAAAAATATCAAATGGGTAGATCATCCTTGTTCCATAAACAGCATGTTGTCTATACTTTCAAGCCTGGGAACTGAGTGGCATAGGGCTATACTGTGGGGGCCTGAGGGAAGCAGTCCCAAACAGGCCTGTCTTGGTGAGGGGTTCATCCTGAAGACTACATATGCCTGCCCCCACTCCCTGTCTAGCACTGGAGCAGTTCGCTACCTGATGAACGTCCCAGGGAAAGCTGGCCAGGACCTGCTACTTGTGAGCTCGGAGGCCTGTATGTTGCTGGATGGACAGGACCTGGTGCCCAGGTGGACCCTTGATGCAGCTCAGGTTCTGAGGTATGTGCAGTTGCTCCTGAGCTTGAGTGGGGAGACACCCCTGCTCAGGACCTCAGCCTGTCCTGCTAGCTGGCAGGGGTGATGGACGGTGGGCCTGAAGGCCTGTGTCCTTCTGCTGGAGACCTCTTGCCTCTGCTGGGATCTGTCCCTTATCCCTGAAGGGGCTGCCGAAACTACTGGTCACAGGGACCAGCCCCTCATGCTGGGTCCAGGTGTAGCTAGCCCCATCCTAACCCGGGAGCATGCAGCCATGGGAACTTCATCTCAGATCCCTGTACCAGACCTTTTGAGAGGTCATCTTCCTTCATCCTTCCAGAAAGCCCATCCTTGGCCACTACAAACCAGACACCTTGGCTGTGGTCATTGAAAATGGAACCAGCACTGACAGACAGGTAGGCTGGACTCCTCCATGGATTAGGAGTCTTCCTTGTCCATGGCCGATGACATACTGTGAATGCAGACAATGCTGAACCTGAGACCGCTGCCCTCAGATGGGGAGATGGTTCAGAGAGCAGCCTTCATGGCTGCCGTGGCTAGGCTGCACATGCCTGTGTAAGCTGAGGCTGTCTGCCAATAGTGTTCCCTCCCTCCCCAGATCCGGCTTCTGGACCTCAGTACTGGATCTCTCTTGTGGAGCCAGTCCCTCCCAAGCCTGCCTGGGGGCCCACCATCCACAAGCCTGATGACTGCAGACCACCGCTCAGCCTTCTTCTTCTGGGGCCTCCATGACCTTGTGAGCACTAATGAGATGGTACGGGTCACGCGCTCAAGGAATATCCCATGTTGGGATCTTGGGCCAGAGGGGCCAGACCTAGATCTCCTTGGAAGCTGCCAGGGGCTGGACCACCAGAAGTCCACTAAGTAGAGTGGGGAGGAGGGTCAGGCCAAGGGGGGAAGTACCCTGCCGGGCCTGGCTGCAGGAGAAGGATCTTGGAGGTGGGAACAGACCTGTGATAAGGAGGGCAGGTGCTGATGGACACCAGGAAGGACTAGGTCCTGGTGGGGGAAGCAGGGACCTAACGGGTGTTCATGGACCAGGAATTAGCTTTCTGGGGGACCCTGGTAAACACGGATGTAAACAAGGTTACTTGATAGCGACTTCTGAGGGTAACCAGAGGGCTGCTCAGGAAGGCTTCAGGAGTTACAGGGCCCACCGGGATGTGACTGTGGCCCAGGCACCCCGGTGTGATGCCCTGCTGCTCTCACCTCAGGATCCCCAAGACGTGCCACACAGCCTGTTTATGTTCCACCCCACCCTGCCCGGCGTCCTGCTGGAGCTAGCTAACGTGTCCGCCAACATCGTGGCCTTCGACGGTGAGCACGCGGGCTCGGGCACCGGGTCCAGGTCTTCCCCCTGCTAGTTTTCTCTGCCTGGTCCTGAGCAGCACTCACTGACTTTCCCCCACAGTGATCCTGTTTGAGCCAAGCCGCCATGCTGCCTATGTGCTCCTGACGGGCCCAGCAAGCTCAGACACCCCCGGCCTGGTCTCTGTGACCAAACACAAAGTGCGAGACCTTGTCCCAGGCAGTAGAGTGGTCCACCTGGGCGAAGGCAGCTCAGACAGCGACCAGGCTATCCGGGACCGGTTCTCCCAACTACGGTACCGGAGTGAGTAGGTGGTGTCAGCTGGAGCACATGGAGAGACTCCAACTGTGAAAACAAAGCCTCCTGGGAAGTTGCCCTGCCCTCAGCCTTCATGCTGACCTCACCGCTTGGCCCTCTGGGAGCTATGGCCTTACCAGTCACATACAAGGATGTTGGGGGGAGGACCTCCAGCCTCCTGCCTGGACCATGCCCTCCCTGAAAGATCTCACTGTGTGTCCCATGTGATCTGGTCAAGGCCAGTAAGCCTCCATGTGGTCTCCCTGGGCCAGTACGGGTAGGTCAACCCCGCAGGCAGCTCATCACTTAGTGCCTCCTTACCCTCTCACTGGAAAAGCCACTGCTGCAGAGCATACTGCTCCCTAGGCTCTGTCTCTGATGTCCGCCCCTCTCCCTCCAGCCGGGCTTTTCCTTTGTCTGCACTGCCCCTCAGGGGTCATAAAGCTCCGATGGTGGTGGGCCCTGGGTTGCTTCAGGGCCGCAGCTGGAACCTGAGAAGCTGCTTCCTTATAGCAGAAGGGGAGTGTCTCCCAGAAAGCGAGGGATGTGGAGTCTGACTGGGCAGAAGGGAGCCCGTCCTGGAGCCCACGGGTACATATGAGAGATGTACAGAATGCACACTGAGTCAGTCTCTTCCCTCAGTACACTGGACCTGCTGTCCGTCCCCCCCCACCCCCCCCACCCCACGGCACAGCAGGCATGTCCCTTTCCCTACTCTCTGGTGCTTACCTGATGCAGGTCTCACCTTGTGCCTTGTTGCTTCTGAGGCCCAAGGGCAACAGAGCAACCCTGCCCAGACCAGATCCCTAGCTCTGTAGCCAAAGCAGTCCCTTGACCACAGCCACCATGGAAACCACCATAATAAATGATTTGCACTGACGGGGGAAAGCCCCAGCAGCCCAGCGTGAGCCTGCAGTCTGGATGTCTCTCTACCTGTGGCAACGAGCCTGGTTCTTCTAAGTCATACTCTCTTCCGTTTTGCAGTGCTCTGCCTGTCACAGCACAGGGCAGCCTGGAGGGCCTCAGAGCTTGGCCTCAGAGTATCAGTCCTTCTGAGAACCCTTTGCAGTTTGCTAAACATAAACTTGTCCCCATGACTGCACATGTACAAGAGCCTGGAGTGTGCACAGGTGTGCCTGAGTTGTCAACATGAGGGCTGAGGCTATGGGTGGGGGCTTTCAAGGCAGAAAGCGGTTCCTCAACCCTGTGAAGGTCACCCAGCACACGCATGGCCCTGAGAAGGAGGGGCAATGGGGGAGGGGATGTGCCTCCAGAGTTCAGGAGCCTCGGTGTCCGTCAACAGGATGAGGTACAGGGCCCAAGGGCAGCCACCACTCCCAGGGCCAGGCTGGACTGCTCCCCACCCCACTCCCCACAAGCCACCTAGTGGCTGCTGAGGACTGTGGCCTGTTGATGGTCATTAAGAGGCTTAATGGCCCTGAAGCCCACCCATAGCTTCTCAGGGCCCCGGGGCTGACTCTGGGCCGTGCCTCCTCCAGCTGGGCACACCTGTTCCGGGGGACACTGCACAGATGGCAGCATCCTGTCTGCTCACAGCTTCTTTAACGTTTCTGGCTGTCTGCCAAATGCAGCTTTCTCCTCCAAAGACCAAGTGCAGGCCGAGGCCGCAGAAGCCTGAGAGGGCCAGCCCCTCAGCAGCCTAGACAGGACAGGCTCCCTCTACAACAGCTACTTAAAAAAACAAACATTTGTTTTTATGGTAGTAAGGGTGTGTGTGGACACTGGAGGACAATTTGTGGAGATCGCTTCTCTTCTTCCTACCGTGTAGGTCCTGGGGTATTGAACTCAGGTTGTCAGGCTTGGCAGCGAGCACCTTGACCCACTGAGTTCTCGCAGCACCCCCTTAGTAGCTACTTTTTATACCAGAAACACACCTGGAGCTTTCCCTCCCGGCCTCTTCACACACACCGATGGACTACATAATCACACCACAGCTGCCCACTCGTCACGCAGCCTTTACGTAAGCCACTCATACGACACGGGGAATACCGAGCAAGGGTCTGGATCTTTTATTTCTGTAGAAATTCGGAGAACAGCTCTTTGGGGAGCTTTATGGCTGAAGGAGGTGGCCCCTTTATTTCTGTCTCTGGGGTAGGGGTAGCAATGCTGGCAGCACAGGACAAGCTGGACAGGATCTGGGGTCCCTACAGTCAGGACAACTGCATGGAGTCGCCTTTCTACAGATCTGATGAGAAGACAGGTAGGAAAGACGCCGTGTCTATCGGTGAGAACCAGCAGGCGCAGTCTAAGAAGCCACTGGGTTTGGTTAGCTCAGCAGAATTAGGGACTTAGACAGTGAAGGAGTCCTCGTGAATAGGATGGCGTGGACAAAGACCAACGCGTCATGAGTCACTGACTTAACACTCTAGAGTTGAGATAGCCACCTAGTTCTGAACTGAAGATTACAGAACACCAGAAACTCTGAGGGCCTTGATTTGACCTCCTAAAACAAGTTCTGTCCTGGCAAGACTCAGCCAGTGAACTCTTTCTTTAGGAATCAGTAGGCGGGCCAGTGCTTTCTAGGCAGGGAAGGACTTAGTGGAGGCGAAAGGGCTTCATAGCAAGACTGGGCCCTCTACACAGGCAGATACCAGTGCCTCGGCACAGTATCCATTAGAAGAACAGGACCCCACAGGTGTCAGGCAGGTGAGGGTAAGGTGAGGTGACAGGCAGGATCCAGCTACTCCCCATCACCGCCTGCAGGGGCGCTGGCTGCTGCTGGCTCCCCAGGGGTAGACTGGAGAGCAGGGCTGGGGCTTGACTGTAGAGGCTTCCTTAAGAATGGAAATGCCCTGGAGACAAGAAAGTGCTGAAAGCATGGGTCTTTTCCCTGAAGGGTCCTCCCTGCTCAGTGGACACAGGGCACCGGATTGGCTCACCAGCGCTTGGTCTCCAGCGGGATCACAGCTTCCTCCAGCAGGCCCTTGTACAAGTCAGACTTCAGGAACCTCGGATAGGAATCCTGCGAAAGACAGCATCCAGTCTCTCTGACTCTTCACCTCCTAGCCAGGTGCAGCCAGGCATTGCTGGGGCCACCTTTTATTCGAAGGCCCTGTGGGACAAGGTGCTGGGGGGGGGGGCAAATATCCAACACTAGCCCAAACCAAGACCTGCAAAGATCAGACACCCCTCTGGTGAGGTCACTAGATTGCAAAACATGGGCAAGAGACACCAGGCTCACACAGAGGAATGAGCCAAGCACCTGCAGCCAGGCCTGAGGAGCAGAGGCACCTCTGCCTGCATGGAGGAGGGGCAGGGATGTGGAATTCTAACCGCACAGCGGAGCCAGGCTTAACGGCTCATACCTGTAATCCCAACACTGGGGAGGCAAAGGGAGGAGGTGTGTTGAACTAATGGATAGCCAGGGCTACACAGCGAGACAATTACATAAAAATAAGTAAATAAACAAGTGGCTATCCTCTCAAGGGCAGGGCACTCTGTAGAAAAAAACAAAGAAGAAGCTAGACAAACCACACTCGCTGCATAGCGATGTACACCTTTAGACCCAGCCCTCAGGAGACAGAGGCAGCCATTAGGAGTTCCAGGCCAGCCAGAGCTATGTGGAGAGATCCTGCCTCAAAATAAAAGAAAAACTACACCCAACTGCAGGAGGCCACCAAGGGCTGGGGAGACATGGAATGTGACCAAGATGGCTGGGCCAGGAGTGTCGGCTTGAGGCCAGGTGGGAGGACTCACAGTCAAAGCTGAGGGACATGCAGAGACCCACCTTTCAGCCCTGCCCCCTCCCCTGGTTTTTGAGACAGGGTTTCTCTGAGTAGCCCTGGCTATCCTGGAACTCACTCTGTAAGACCAGGCTAGCCTTGAACTCACGGAGATCCGCTGCTGCTGCCTCCCCAAGCGCTGGTATCAAAGGAGTGTGCCACCATGCCTGGCTTTTGTTGTTTGTTTTCAGTTTAATTTTTTTGTGTGTGTGAAAAAAATATATTTTTTCAATGGTGTGATGATGCATGTCTGAAATCCTAGCACCCTGGATGTGGAAACAGGAGGCTCAAGAGTTAAAAGTCATTTTTAGCAAATTCCAGGCCAGTCTGAACTACAGGAGACTGTCTCTAGTGGTGACGCTGATGATGATTAATTGCTATGGGTTGAAACTTTTTTTTTTTTTTTTTTTAGATATTTATTTATTTATTTATAGTATTCTGCCTTCATGTGCGCCTGCGTGCATCAAGCTCTCACTATAGATGGCTGTGAGCCACCATGTGGTTGCTGGGAATTGAACTCAGGACCTTTGAAAGAACAGCCAGTGTTCTTAACCTCTGAGCCATCTCTCCAGCCCCTGGGTTGGAACTTATTAAATATGTTGAAACCTTTTTTTTTTTTTTTACACAGGATCTCACTATGTAGACCAGGCTAACCTTGAACTCACAGAGATCTACATGTCTCTGCCTCCCTAATGGCAGGATTAAAGGCAGGTTTGGGCCACCATGCCCTAGGAAATCTATGAATTTATTATGGTATTAAACAACATCAGGAGCTAGAGAGATGGCTCAGAGGTTAAGAGCACTGACCGCTCTTCCAGAGGTTCTGAGTTCAATTCCCAGCAACCACATGGTGGCTCACAACCATCTATAATGAGATCTGGTGCCCTCTTCTCGTGTGCAGGTGTACATGCTGGCAGAGTTATGTATACATAATAAAGAAATAAATCTTAAAAAAATAAATAACATCAGGAGGCTGAGGCAGGAGGATCACCTACAGGTCAAAGGCCAGTCTGGACATTAAGTCTGGACATTAATACCGAGTTAGACATTACAGAGTGAGACCCTGACTCAGACCAACCAAAAACCCCACTAACAACTCTGGACAAATACTAAGGATCCAGATAATTGACTCCATCTATGCCGCTAGATGACCAGAGGGTACACAAAGGGACGGGGTGGGGAGGGACAGCCCCCAACAGTGGGGTCTGGATACCACCACACTGGTTAACTGCAACCAGGGCAGCGAGTGGCAGAAGCTGATGACGCCAAACAGACAAAACCCAACAGCCGGAAGCAGAGTGGGAAGGTGTATGACAGCGGCGACACAGGCACCTTCTTCATGAGCATGTAGATGTGCAGCTGTGCCGCATCCAGGACGTAGCGGTGTGGCTGGCGCAGCCCCTCCAGGGTCCACTCCATAGTCCTGCTGTCGATGTTGATCCAGCGGGCAGCTCCAGGGGCCAGGAAATGCCTGAGATACCAGTGGTACAGAGCTGGCTCCCGCTGGGCCTGAGCGACGGCCAGCCGCCTTCCACTTCCACACACTTACTGATACACCGCATCCACCAAGGCAGGGACCTGGGCCTGGCCGCCGAAGCGCAGCTCCTCACACGCCTCCCAGAAGCTGAGGTTTTCCGCTGAGGACAGGGCAGCAGTCAGGGTTAGGGGTTCCCACTGAGCTGGCTGGAGAGACCCTACCCCCACCCCCGCTTCGGGGTGCCTAGAGCAGGAAGGTAGGCTTCTCACCACTGAACTCCTTCTGGAGGAAGTCCATGAAGTGGGCACGCCCCACGGGGTCATCCAGGAGCTCCCGGAAGCTGAAGCTCCATCGCTCAACACGGAGCTTTGTGGGGGCAGCCACGCTGGGAGAGGAGGGGTGGAAGCAAGAGAGGGTGGGCGGCTGGTCCTGCTCCCAGTCTGGTGGGCGCTCGACAGTGCCACCCGAACACCCAGGTCTTACTTGGGTGCATTCATGGCCCAGTAGGTGACATCATCTGTTATCCAGGGGTTGCTGGGCAGGCACCCTGACATGATGGGATCGTGCGGGCCGTGCTGGCTGCTGAACTTCAGGTACCTGGGGGTTCCAGGGGCCAGGGCAGGATGGCCTCAGGGACAAGAGGCCCTATAAAGGGTCTGGGTTGGGAAGGGTGTCTCACTCACGCCTCGAGGCAGACAGAGGATTTCACCCGGTTCCTGCCCAGCGCCTTCTTGAAGCGCTCGATCTAGGACACCAAAGCTGAGTCAGGACCTGTGGTGGGGGATGAGCGCCCCTACCGTGCCCCCTCCCATGTTCCCCAGACCTACCTCACACTTAAAGAAATCCGAGCTCTAGGTCTGGAAGACACGGATGGCCTGAGTTACAAAGCAGCCTTCTGACGTTAAGAAAACCTGCTATGCTACCTCTCAGGGCTGAGACCTTGCCCCACCAGGATGTACCAAAGACTGGCTTAGACCTGCAGCCCAACTCTGAGAGGCCCCTCCTCCTAGCGCTAGCCCCAGGAGAGGCCTCTGACAGCCAGCCTTCATCTGGAGACTCATTTCTCACCGACTGTTTAAAAATTCTTTTTTTTTTTTTTTTTATGTACCTTGGTGTGTTGACTGGATGTATGTCTGTGTATGACTATATGACATGTCTGTGTGAGGGTGTTGGATCTGCTGGAACGGGAGTTACAGTTGTGAGCTGCCATAAGGGTGCTGGGGACTGATCTTCCGGTCCTCTGGAAGAACAGTCAGTGTTCTTGAGCGCTGAGCCATCTCTCCAGCCCCATCTGGGCACTCTAGGGTTCCACAAAGCCCTGAGGTTCTCCACGCTGTCGAGAAATTGCTCACTTGCTCTCAACCAATCACATTTTCAGATGGCTTCAAGCATTTTTGTTGTTGGTGAGACTGTTTTCTTCAGTTCGTGCTGGCCTTGAATTTACCGTGGAGCTGAGGACACCGTTAAATTTAGGACCTTTCTGCCTTCACCTCCCAAGTGCTATGATTAGAGATGTCTGCCACCATACTTAGCGCTTAAAGTATTATTGTTTGGTTGGGTTTTGTGGGGGAGCGTTGTTTGTTTATTAGTTTGTTTGCTTTTGAGACAGGATTTCTCTGTTTAACAGTCCTGGCTGTCCTGGAACATGGGCTGGCCTTGAACTCACACAGATCCACCTCCCTCTGCCTCCCTAGTCCTGGGACTAAAGGTATGTGCCACCAAGCTTGGCTGTTTGTTTGGAGACAGAATCTCTTTATGTAGCTCTGGCTGTCCTAGAACTCACTATGTAGACCAGCCTGGCCTTGAATTCACCTGCCCCTGCTTCTCAAGTGCTGGAATTAGCAGCACGTGCCAACCTTTAAGGCCAAACCCAGCCTTTAAAGTCTTTTTCAAAGCGCGTATACTGAGAAATCCTGCTCTGGGAAGTCTGATTTAACTGGGTCACAGCCCCTCTAGGCAGCTTTGCACGGCTGGACAGCAGGAACCACTCAGTAGAGTGGCCAACTATGCCCGACTCCTTAGCCACACCGGGAAGGGCACGGAGGATGACACCTCTGACTTCCCAAGTTCATCCTAGCTCCCTCTGCTTTTGTACACAAAAAAGCTAGGGGCTGAAGTTAGCATGACGTTGTGAGACAACAGGATCTGTCCTAGAATTTGGGCTTAGGTGGGAGTGACTTCCGTGAGAAACGGGGCACTGCTGCCTGCTGATGCATTAGTTAGGGCCTGTCTGTGCTGAGTCCCAGCTTATCTAGTTGGGAGGTTACCAAAGACTTTGACAGGAGGTGCCTGTGGGTGGGCCCAGGTCTTGCTTCTCAACGTTTCACCTCCCTAGGAACTCTGCTGCTGTTTCACCCCGGAGGAAGAGCCTCCCACTCAACCCCGGGACCACCATGACTTACTTGCACCCAAGGCAGCAGGCGGGAGAAAAGAGGACAAGAGTTACTAAGCAAGCCCGAGGGGGGGGGGGTGCAAGAGGGGCTGAGACCAGGCACAGCACAAAATAGGGACCTTGGAGCGGCTGCATCAGGTACATTTAGGTGACTCAAAGGATGAATGGATGGGTGAGCGGTCCGAAGAACCCGGAAGTGGGCTGAGTGGACCGGCTTGTGTTAGAGTTAGGATTAAAGCCGCAGCAATGAGGGGGCTGGGGCTGAAGGGGGCGTGCTTACCATCTGCACTCGACTGGAGTTGTAAGAGCCCCTCTCAGGACCCTGCTCCAAAACGTTAGGTGCCCCGGGCTGCAGAAGGATGGGGAGATGGGGTGCTGAGGCCTCCACCCGCACAGACTTCAATGCCCTTTACTCTTCAGTGTGGGAACTGACATTCCCAGGAACTCAGGAACTGAGCCGTCTTGAACCCCATCTTTCTGCCCATTCTGACTCAGCTGTAAGCCCCTCAGATAGCAAGCAGCCCTTCAAGCCATGCGCCAGGACCTCAGTTTCTCAGGCACTGCTTCCCTCAATACCCAGTCCCTCTGCTGCAGCGGAGCTCGGCCCCCATCTTGCCTCCTGGGACCCTCAGTCCTGCATTGGCTCTTGTGTGTCTCCCTTAGACAGAGGGAAGCTGGCTTGTTCTGTGGTCTGGGACTACAGGTCCCAGGTCTGAAGCTGCCTCATGTCATTTCTACATTATCAAAAACAAAAACAACCTGTCACCCACTGGGACCCTCAAGTGCACCTTCCCCGCAGCTTAAGAAAGCAGTTTTGAGAGAACCTTTTAGCATAGCACACAGACTCCCCCTGAAGGCCCAGGAACCTCCTCCACCCTCACCACCTGAGGACTCACGGGGGGCTTGTTCACCAGCCAGTAGATCTGCTCCTGACAGGAAATGACCAGCCTGTCTCCCTTGCGGCGCTGCTTAGCTGCCCTGGGAGGAGTGGGCGGAAGTGAGAGGAAGCTGATCCTGGCGCAGCACAGCCCACCCTTGGCCATGGGCAGTGGAGCCGGTGACGGGATGTTCTTGGCCCCGGGGCTGCAGTGTGCAGCTCGCCATCCTAACCACTTTGAGCCCAAGGCCCCACTGGTCGTGCTGTGGTGTCTCACCGCAGCTGCTCCCGAGCCTGCATGACCACTAGATCCCATGCATGGTTGATTTTCTTGTGCAGCTGGGCATAATGTTCCTGGAGGGCAGCAGGGTATCCAGTAGGTAAAATGTGTAATCCCCACATGGGCCTAGCTCTGGAATAACGACCCCAGCTTCCGGGGACACTGCGGGGAGTTAATGGTGTGTGTGTGTGTGTGTGTGTGTGTGTGTGTGTGTGTGTGTCTACCTGGTTCAGAAACCAGCTCATCCCATGAGGTCTTAAACAGGGGCTGCTTCTTCTTCTGAGAACCCTAAGCCTCCGTTGTCGGTATGGGAGCCTTCCCAGGGAGATGGGGGGGATAGAGAGGGTGTTGTCTAGAGGCCTAAGCTGTATGCTCTTGGCTCAGGGGTGAGTCTGTGCTGGACTCGGCCTGCTGGATGTCCCACCTTCTCATAGTCCACCAGGGCCCCTTGTTTTTGGATGTTCTTCTTAGCCAGGTAGATGGCTGGAAGGATAGAAACATGATGTGGGGGGCCATCCCTGTCCAAACCCCATGGCATGGCTCTGGGACCACCAGCTCCCAGACTGGACTCCCATCCTTCCCACTCACCATAGTCCAGCTCAGCAGCTGGCCACAGCGTGCTTGTCCAGAAGTAGGGGGTCTTGTGTTGTGCAGGGAAAATGATGTCCAAGACCTCGCTTCTCTCCTAGTTACCCACACCGTCTATCTCATAGCTCCCAGCTATGGCTGGGCAGAGGGGCAGCCTTACCCGATGCTCCAACTGACCACTACCCATTCTTTTTTGGGGGGAAGGGGAGTGGGGGTTTGTAGCAGAGTTTCTCTATGTAGCTCTGGCTGTCTGGAACTCACTCTGGTGCTGTGGACAGGCTGGCCTGGGATTTACAGAGATCCACTAGCCTTTGCCTCCTGAGTCCTGGGATTAAAGGCTGTGCTACCCCCCTCCTCCCCCCCACACACTGTCCATTCTTTCTACCTGCAATGTGGGGTCCTGTAAAGGGACTACCTCCCTGATGCTGAATGCCAGCCAGTGGGGCCTGATAATCCAAATGTGATCGCAGTCTGAGTTTGGCCTGGTCTCACCCACTGAAGTGCAGGAACCCTGTCACCGAACCCAGCAGATAATCTTCCAGAGGGAGACCTGCTGGGACCCCGGCTGAATGCTCTACACACATCGCCTTTTGCTTGGCTGCTGCAGCACGCGAAAGTTGAAGCTCCCTTGACTTGCCTCAGTCCAGATCTTTTGGGGGAGGGGCGGGTCCGGTCCGGTGACATCACAACGTCCCGCTCCAACCCCAGTGAGCTCCACCCTCCCCTAAGCGGGGTACACCCTGCCACCCTTAGGCCTGACCTGAAACCGGTAGGGCGTCTCGTCCTGCCGGAGCGTCAGGTCTCGGGACTCACGCAGTGGGTAGATGTAGCCGTGCTGCGCCAGGAGCGTGCCCAGGTGCAGGGCTTCTGAGGAGAAGCAGAGTGAGCGCTCTGCCAGCCCCCGCCCCAAGCCGCGGCGCGCCGACTCTCACCCTCCTCCGAGATGCAGAACTTCTGGACCAGCCATTCCACGATGTCTCTGCCTGCACGGGAGAAGCGGATTGGGCGGAGACCGCGGCGCCCTGCTCCCCTGGGGTGTCCACGAGCCTCACCCGCTACCGCGTGGGGAATGACGGTGATGAGAAGGCGTTGGCTTCGCATTTTCACGCCCTGGTCGGGGTCCTGCATACTCACGATCACCCGCTCCATCTGAAAGCGAGCGCGGGGCCTTGGGTGGGGGCAGCAACTCAGATCCTGCGCGCTTGTCCCCAGGCTCCCCAGGTTCCCCAGGTCACCGCGCGAGGATAACAGACTGAGCCAGTAAAGGCCGGGGACCGGGGCCACCCGGTGCAGTCATGATGAACTCCCGGTGCTTTCCTGACTGTCCCCAGTGCTGTTCACTCCCCTCACCTGCCACGTTCCACGCCCCCTCGCCTGCCCCAACCCTAACACCCACAGGCCGAGGGCCCACCTTGCTGAGATGTGGCCTCTGCATGCGGGAGCACCCGCCGTGGGGTGTGCAGCCCGTAGCCGTGGCCATGGCGGATGTCCGAGAAAAGACGCCCCGCCCCACGCCGGCCCCGCCCGCCAAGGTTAACCGTGTGAGCTGCGGGGCCCAGGTTCCCGCACCACCGAGTCACCTGAGCCATCACAGGCTGTGACTTGGGATAGCCTGCAGTGTGTGTGGGGGAGGGAGCCTGAAACCTCAGACGCCTGCCAGGCAGAGGAACCTGCCTTAGTCTGGCAGCTTCCTTGATGCAGGGCTTGGTCTTAGAGATGGGACGGACCTGTCACCTGTCACCGAAGCTCTGGAATAGGACAGGTCTCTTTCAGAGTGGAGACAGTAAGAAAGGATGAGGCCTAGAAAGGACTCCAGCAGAGGAGCCCGCGCCCGGGTGGGTCAGGTTGGAAGCAGTAGTTCAAGATCTTGAAAGCCACTACTCCATTCATGGGCCCCCAAGGAGCACAGGGACCAGCAGAATGAGGGATGTGGGGTCAAGGCTGTAGTTTGACTGGTCCAAGAGTATCCTTTCACATACACGACACCATGGGTGGCCTGTAGAGAGCCATAGGGTTTGTATGATGTAGGCCTCACCTGGCAGTGTCACTGATCCAATTATAAAAGGCACAGGCGGGTTGTTTCTTCTTTCCTGAAGAGAGTGTGTCCTATTTCTCTACCCCACCAAGGAATGCCAGCGAGCAAAGGCGGGGGGGTACAATTGGACTTACTGAGACCAGGAAACTTCAACATGGCATTTGAGTATTCCAATGGGTCAGAGGGGCTGGAAGGGTGCCCTCTCCAGACACGGCACATCAACCATAGATCCCAGGCTTTTCCCCACCCCGTACTTCACTGAAAGGCAAGGTCAGGCCGGCCTCTGGCCAGCTGTCCTCCCTGGATGAGTAGGCATCTATGGAGGTTGCAGGCTGTGGGCAGCTGAAGCTATCCCCAGCAAAGGACGAGTAAATTTAGTGTCTAACATTACACACACACACACCCCCCAAGGGCAGGGGTGGCCCTCCCTGGAATCCCAGGCCTCCTTGCAGGATCTTGCTTTGGAAGGGTAGAGGGGGAACTGGTCACTAGCCCAATGCCTCAGCACTGATGGTTGGCCTGCTTCACAGCAAAGGTGGGTCTGCTCCCTGCATACACTCAGAAATGCAAGACACTGCTTTGCACAACTTCCTTCCTCAGATCCAGGCCTTTGGTCCTGCCGTCCTCAGCTAAAGGCCCAGCTCACCAGCCACCTGCCTTGGCTCACCAACATCCCCAGGTCTCCTCTGGAAGTCAAGATTATAAAATCCCTCCCACCCACTTTCTGTTTCTTCAGTATCCCTTCTTTTCCCAGTCCTAGGAACCTGCAGAATTGTCTGGGTCCTAGGTCCCCCCAGACACATCCCCCCCCCCCACACACACACACATTCACAGTCTGCACCAATAAGCTTTAAGGGATCCTTGAGTCTGTGTGGTCCAGATTGCACTTCAGGGTGTGGGTACCCAGAGCCAACAGGGTGTGGCCCAGATGGAGGTTGATAGGCCCCAGGAGTCCCCTTTGCCCAGACAAGAGGGAGGGAGCAGGTGGAGGGCCGCAGGGCCCCAGGTGTGCCCTGCGCGGCTTGCTGATAATGGGAGTCCAGGGACGTGGGGGCGTCGCACCTGTTCTAGTTGGCGTCCCTGACCAGCACGCCCCGCCCAGGGGATCCCGGAGGACCCGACTCCCCGTTGTGTGTGGGGGCGGCCCTGGGTCCCTGGCGACCCGTCCAGGCGCCGGGCGCGGCAGGGACGACCGGGTTCCGGCGCGGTGCGGACGACACGCGCGTCTCTGCGGGCTGCGCGGGGTCCGCGGAGCGGCTGGGGGCGCGCGGCGCGGGCGCGGCGCTGGGCGCGGGGGGCGCTCCCGGCCGGGATGAGCTCACCGCAGTCGCGCCGGGGCTGAGCCGAGCGGGCGGCGGCTCCGCGGCGGGCCGCGGCTATCATGCTGGGCCTGGACGCGTGCGAGCTGGGGGCGCAGCTGCTGGAGCTGCTCCGGCTGGCGCTGTGCGCCCGAGGTGAGCGGCCGGGCCGGGCGGCGGCCACGTGCGCCGGGGGGCAGCAAGGGAGCGGCGCGGTTGGGGGTCAGTCCCCGCGGCAACTTTGGGGCGCGTGGGGACCTCGTGGCGTGTATTCTGGCCGGACGTGGGACTTCAGTCCACGCAGACGCTTCTGGGGAAGGGAGCCGGGAGGAAAGGAGCGTGTCCAGCCGGGAGGCTGCGGCCTCTCCCGTAGGTGGGGCTGGGGCTCCTTCCGGTGAGAGGCAATCCTAAGGTTGGAGGGCAGTGGGCAGCATCTCCGTGAGACCCTTATCCCGAGACGTCCAAAGGAGCTATGGAGACCCTAGTTTTGGGAACTATCGGAGGGATCTAGGACATTATGGGAAGAGCACAGAGCTGGGGCGCCTCTGGGGTACCCCAGGGCTACTACTCTTCAGCAGTGGTCTGTAAGCTGACCAGAAACAAACTGGTCTCTCCAGGGTCTCTTAGGGACCTCTTCCAGTCACAAGAGCCCCTCCTGAAGAGGCCAAGCCTAGGGACTTCCAGGGACTTGGGGGCCCACTGTGTGTCCATGACAGCTCCTCTGTCTTCTTTAGTTCTATTGGGCAGTGGGAGGGATAACTGGTGAGAGTGTGGGTCCTGGAATGTTGGGGTCAGCAGGTGGCCGGGGCTTACACGACTTCCCCTACTCCCAGTCCTCTTGGCTGACAAGGATGGGGAGCCAACCCCAACAGATGAGGTGCTGGATGAAACTGTACCAGAGTACCAGGCCCCCGGGAAGCAGAGCATGCTGGCAATCTGGCAGCTGGACCCTGAGGACGTGAGCTTGGTCAAGTACAAGCAGGCGCTGCTGGGGCCTCTGCCACCCATTATGGGTATGGCCTGGGGCCTGGATGTGGAGGGCTGCAAGCAGGGGGAGGGGAAGGTGGGGTCAGCACGGCACCCCGTGGATGCTGTTTCTCCTCAGACCCCAGCCTGCCCAACGTGCAGGTGACTAGGCTGACACTCCTGACGGAGCAGGCGCCAGGGCCTATCATCATGGACCTTACAGGTAACCCCCCCCCCCCCCGCAGACTACAACCCATCTTTGGATGAAGACCATCCTAGGACCCCATGCCGAATCCTAGTTCCTTGGGTGCATTGCCCCAGACTTCATGGGCACCTCCAGTTCCTCCATACATGTTGCTGGGGCCGGGTCTACATGCTGGTGATTTAGAGTACCCGTCATTTCCCTAACAGGAGACCTAGATGCACTGAAAAACCAGGTGTTTGTCCTGAAGGAGGGCATTGAATACAAGGTGAAGATCACCTTCAAGGTGAGGGTAGCTGCAGGACAGGCCGGACGTGTCCCAGCCTTCCAGAGAAGGCCCTAAACATTCTCCTTTCCCCAGGTCAACAAGGAGATTGTCAGTGGCCTCAAATGTCTGCATCACACCTATCGCCGGGGACTGCGTGGTGAGGCATAACGGAGGGCAGCCTGAGGCTGTGGGAGCTGGGCGGAGGGCGGCTCCTAATGACCTTCCTTCCCACAGTGGACAAGGCCATCTTCATGGTGGGCAGCTATGGCCCCAGAGCCCAGGAGTATGAATTTGTGACGACAGTGGAGGAAGCACCAAGGGGTGCATTGGCACGTGGCCTCTACGTGGTCAGGTCCCTCTTCACCGATGACGATAGGCTGACCCACCTGTCCTGGGAGTGGTGCCTCCAGGTCAGCCAGGACTGGAAGGACTGAACCCCGCTTGGGGCCTGCGCTCCCAATCTCTGTCGGCTGCAGTGACCTGCAAGCATTTATTCCCTAGACCTCCCAGTTGGTGACCAGATGTCCCCACTCTTGGCTGTGCCCCCTGCCTGGTGCCTATTAAATGTTACCCTGTCTCGCTGCCCTCGTGTTGCCTCTTTTTGCCTGTCTCCGCCCCTGAGGGGCCTTTCAGGCTTTATCTTTCCTGAGACCCAGCCAGGTGCTACGTGGCCGGTGCTGCTTGGTCCCCGATCTCTTTATCTGCTCCAGCCTTCAGGGCCCAGCACACCATGGATGATCGGCTCCTGCCAGTGTTGCTGCTCCTGCTGGGTGTCTCAGGCCCATGGGGACAGGGACAGGAGCCCGAGGCTCCCTCAGAGGCGCTCCCCGAGGAGTCCACGGGGGAAGAAGCCCCCAAGGAGGATGATGGGATCTTGGTCTTGAGCAACCGCACCCTGAGCCTGGCATTACAGGAGCATTCAGCCCTGATGGTGGAGTTTTGTGAGTGCTTGGGCCAGTGGGCTGGGAACCATTGTGGTAGAGGGGTTCAGGCCTCTTCCTAGACTTTCTGCCCCCTGAATCCCAGCATCCCTGAGAGGGTGCCTGGACAGGAAACCCTGGTATTGAGCTGGGCTTGGTGGTGGTGCGTGAGTGGGAAGGGGTGGTGGTAGGGCAGTGGGCACCCAGGGCGTGTGGACGCACATAACACCCCTGCCTTGTCAGCCATGGCCACATACCGATGTTACTACCTTTGGGGCCTCTATCCTAAAGGGCTGATCACTGATCCTTCTGTGAAGGCAAAGCATCTAGGCCGGATGCCCCAAGCAGGTTCCTGTGGCATATGGGTCTATGGTTTCTTTAAATCCTTTACAAATGCCAAAGCATTCTTAGCTGGTGGGTTTCAGAAAGCAGCTACATGTGGCCCTGGAGAGAAGATGCGGGATTCTTCTCAAATTCTCCCAAACCTCTTTGTGCCCGGGACTTGAGGGTTATCTGGCATCTGGCACCCAGGTGTGGTTGTGATCAATTTCGAGTATGGGCCTGAGGGAGGATGTGGACAGAACATGATCCCTGTTGGACTTGGGCTGCAGCTGGGATTGTTGAGGACTGGTGCACTCACGGCCTCATCCCCCAGATGCTCCATGGTGTGGTCACTGCAAGGCACTAGCTCCTGAGTACAGCAAGGCTGCTGCCCTGCTGGCGGCTGAATCAGCTGCTGTCACCCTGGCCAAGGTGGATGGGCCTGCAGAACCAGAGCTGACCAAGGAGTTTGGCGTGGTAGGGTACCCTACACTCAAGTTCTTCCAGAATGGAAACCGCACAAACCCAGAAGAATACTTAGGTATGAGGTGGGTGTGGCCTGGGGTGGGCAAGTTCACAGGTGTGGAGTGGGTGTGGCCTAGGGATGGGGCAAGTCCCGTCTGAAATAGGGGCCTCTCTACAGGGCCCAAGAAGGCTGAGAGCATTGCTGAGTGGCTGAGGCGGCGAGTGGGCTCCAGTGCCACACGTCTGGAGAGTGAGGAAGATGTCCAGGCGCTGATAGACAAATGGGATGTGGTGGTCATTGGCTTCTTTAAGGTAAAAAAGGAGGGGTGGACAGGCTGTGGGAATAGTGCTGGTGGCTGGTACCCACCATTCTCATTGGGCTGGGCCTGTAGGATCTACAGGAAGAGGATGTGGCAACTTTCCTGGCCTTGGCCAAGGATGCTCTAGACATGACCTTTGGCTTAACTGACCAGCCACAGGTCTTTCAGAAGTTTGGCCTTGCCAAGGATACTGTGGTTCTCTTCAAGAAGGTAAGTTGGGGCTAAGAACAGGGTTGGGCTCAGGGTCATAGCTCCTGCTAACCTTGTTGGTGTCCAGTTTGACGAGGGTCGGGCCGACTTCCCGGTAGACAAGGAGACTGGCCTGGACCTGGGGAACCTGTCCCGCTTCCTCATCACACACAGCATGCACCTGGTCACAGAGTTCAACAGCCAGGCAAGTACAGCTGCAGGTCACAGTGAAGTAAAGGGACCCTTAGGAGGTGGGAGGCTTGGTCGGGATAGAGGGACCTTGGCCTGGGAACCCTCAAATAGAGGCCCCATATGTCATGAGTTTCCTACTCTTCCAGACCTCACCTAAGATCTTTGCAGCCAAGATCCTCAACCACCTGCTGCTGTTTGTGAACCAGACACTAGCTGAACACCGGGAGCTGCTGACAGCCTTCAGGGAGGCAGCTCCCCAATTCCGGGGGCAGGTACTGGGGACACAGTAGGGAGGAGTGGTAGGGTGGTAGGACTGAGGGAGACCCCAACTTGGTATGACTTGTGGTAGGTGTTGTTCGTGACGGTGGATGTGGCTGCTGACAACAGCCATGTACTGAATTACTTTGGTCTCAAGACTGAGGAAGCCCCCACCCTGCGCCTGATCAACATTGAGACCAAAAAGAAGTACGCGCCTACAGGGGTGGCACCCATCACTGCCCTTTCTGTGGCTGCCTTCTGCCAGGCAGTCTTCCATGGGGAAATCAAGGTCTGTAGCTCATAGAGGGGAGGAAGAACAGCAATCCTAGGACCCTGGCCCCTGCGTGTGACCCCAGTGAAGGCATGCTTGCTTCCCCAGCCATATCTCCTGAGCCAGGAGATACCCCCTGACTGGGACCAGCGGCCAGTCAAGACTCTTGTGAGCAAGAATTTTGAGCAGGTGGCCTTTGATGAAACCAAGAATGTGTTTGTCAAGTTCTGTGAGTGCTGGGGGGGGGGGGGGGGGGGGGGGGGGGGGGGGGGGGGGGGGGGGGGGGAATGGCCGGCTGGTGGGGTGGGAGTCAGGTCCAACCAGCCAAGCTGATTCCTCCTACAGATGCCCCATGGTGCAGCCACTGCAAGGAGATGGCTCCAGCCTGGGAGGCCCTGGCAGAGAAGTATAGGGATCGTGAGGACATTGTCATTGCTGAGTTGGATGCCACAGCTAATGAGCTGGAGGCCTTCACTGTGCATGGCTATCCCACACTCAAGTTCTTCCCTGCTGGGCCGGACCGAAAGGTGAAGGGATGGATGTGTGTGGGAGTGGACTACTTCTCCATAGCCGGCTCATGCTGGAGACAGGCTGTGGCTGAGGAACATGTCCTCAGGTCATTTCCTTTCTCCTCAGGTTATAGATTACAAAAGTACCAGGGACCTAGAGACATTCTCCAAGTTCTTGGACAGTGGAGGTGACCTGCCTGAGGAGCCCAAGGAGCCTGTAATCTCTGCCTCAGTAGGTACTCCGTTCAGGATACCAGCCACTAAACAGGTTCTCGCCTAGCAGAGGGTCTGAGCTGGGCTTGTGTGGTTCTTTCTAGGAAGCACAAGCCAATTCCACCTTGGGGCCCAAGGAGGAGCTGTAGCCATCTGGACACTGCATTCCAGGAAGTGGTGTTCTCAGGTGCTGGAGGGAACTGTGCGCTATGAATAAAGACGTTGTTCCAGACTTGGTGTGGTTCATGAGCAGGGACTCATGGGACCTAACCCTTCTGGTGTACTCCTGGCCTCTGGGGCTTGCCTGGGCAAGAATGGGTAACACCTTCAAAGGCAATCTCATCTCCTTCATTGCTTGGCTTGAGGGCTGCATAGCCACTGGCAGCAGATAGTATATCACACACCAAAGGGAGGTTCAAAAATGGTTTTATTTCATTATTATCCAAGTACCTTTGAAAAGATAATTGTACAAGTCATCGCATGAAAAATGGGCTCAGGGTACCCCCTGCTGGCCCTGGCCTGAGAAATGTACATATTTACATGGACACTTAGAAGGGACCAGACCCCCACCCCTCTGCTGAATCAAGCTGGTGGCTGGAGACAGGCAAAGGGGCCTGAGGTACTCAGCCGCCAGATTCACACAGTGGCAGGCAAGAGACAGCTATGCTGAAGGCACTCAGTGACATGTACAATATACAGAGGCCCCCACAGGATCCCCTGCTCCTGGACCTGAGCCCAACCAGGTGCAGAGGATAGGTCCCAGAGGGAGAAGAGGACACTGGGATACAAGCCCAGGGAAAGGTATCCCCGGGTCAGTCTGCATTCAGAAGCAAGAGCTGCTGAGGGTCATGAGATGGCTCCTGGTATTGCTTCAGGGGGTGGTGTGGGGATAAGTAGGGCTTTCCTTTTGAAAAGCAAAGCAGAGAAACCCATGGAACCACTCAGTAGGACGAGCCCCTCCCCACACTTTCCCAGACCCAGAGGGACAGAGGTATGGCAGACACCTGAGCCCCCCGCCCCCCCAGGAAGAGCTTTTGACACAAACTTGTGCTGTTCCCCACACCAGGCTCCTGAGGACAAGGCTGTCCACCTGGTTGATGGCAGTGCACCTTAGAGATGGTGTGCTCTGGGTATGTTGCCCAGTGCTCAGTCCACCTTTTCCACCTTGCCAATGATCTTCTCTTCAAAGACAGGCAAGACTGCCTCGTCCTCCCGCACTTCCTCAAATACCACACCACAGTCAAACTCGTCACTCACTTTCTTAAAGTAGTATCTAGGAACAGAAAATTGTAGAGACAATGAGAAGAGCCTGTTCCGAGAGGAATGACTGTTCTTGACCCTCCAGAAGTCCTACCACCCTGGAATGCAGGCTTCCCCCAGACAGTGAGCTGGGCTCCTGGCTGGTGCCTACTGGGCAGCAGCAACACTTGAGATAAACTGGCACCACTAGCTAGGTGTCGTGTCACACGCCTATAATCCTAGAACTCGGGGAAGGAGAGGCAGGCGGATATCTGTGAGTTCGAGGCCAGCCTGGTCTACAAAGTGAGTCCTGGACAGCCAAGGCTACACAGAAAAACCCTGTCCCCAAAAAAACAAACAAAAAAACCCTGGGAGATCCAATCTTGATAGGCTTATTCATGAAGAGCAAAGGTCTTGGGATCCCAGCTCTGTCATCCACATGGGCTGACTCTGGTAGGGTTGACAGGTTCTCAGTTCACTCGGCTATCAGTAATCTTTCTACTGGAGTTTCTGAGTTAGCTGGCATGGAGGGAGAGAAGTCTAAGGCTAGAACAAAGCCAGTCCAGCTTTGAGGCAGTGTCCTGATGCCACCAAACTGCAGTGAGCAGTGTCCGTGGCTGAGAGAAGTGGGGTGAAGGGGAAGATAAAAGAGAAATGGGACGGAAAGCTGTTTCCTTCTACACC